TTGCTAAAAGATATTTTGGTTTATTACCCATTTCCAAGTAAAGTCACACATATTCCAGTTATGTTCCTGTTATCTTAAATAGATATTGTATCCTACCTCCAAAACATGAAGGCAATATCTCAAACATCTGTTTCCATAGCTCTTAATCTATTCTAGTGAAAATTAGATGCATTTTTTTCTTGTCATGCCTAGATATTTTCTTAAACTCACTCTGCTCCTTAGAAGCTCAAAGATTTCCAATAATGTTTTGTTTTACAAACTATAGTATATTAAAATATTCTCTTCTTGAACAATAATATTCTACAGTTGTACATGAATATTCATGCAATGGGAATATTCCAAATTGTCAGAAGCACCTTAAAATGAATAAACAAGAATCGTTTTTAATGTTGTTAGTTAAACACAACTAATTACCAGCTTTATGTAGTTTTCATAAATCCAGACCACAGAAGAGAGGCACTAAAATTAAGGACATCAAGAATCTAAATCTGAAACTATTTATGGAAAGCTATGGTATTGTGCAAACTTGGGTCATTGCTTTTCAAGTAGGCAGTAAATGAGTGCTCATTAAAATGAGGCAAATAGCTTGACTGCTACTGCTCTTCCCATCATGACAGTATTTGCTAATGTCCCCAAAAAAGTGTATTTGAAAAATACATGATTTTAGATAGTTGCTGAGTTTTTAATGCCCCCCTTACATATAAACCAAATACAAGAGATGTGACCAACCCGTTGATTGAATCAACCATTGATTCAAAAAGGACAGGTCATTAAAGTGAGAAGTTGGATAAAGAGTGCATGTTCATTGCTTTTTAATTTTAAGCAAGACTTAACTATGCACAATTTAAAGACTTAACTATGCTACATAAAATATTGATAAAGTTTCACTATATGCATAATTTCAGAGTATATAAATTCTCCACACAAACTTCAAAATCAAGAATCACTTGATTCTAGAGCTAGCAAGGCCAGTGAATGAACTGAGTTTGTGTTATTGCAACATGGCTTTAGCTGTTAAACAGAAATGTCCACCCACCACTGGCAGACTCAATCTTAAATTATTCAAGATTTCAGGAAGTCACCTCTCACATAAACCTCCAATTCTCCTTTCTAAGTGACCTATACTGTAATAATCACATGATTTATGGTTAAAGACCGATCTGCAACATTCTATCTATGTAAATATGAACCATTTTCCAACAGAAAAATCAATTATTCCTTAGGCTCATAGGCATTTTGGATCACATATGGTGATGTTGATGTAAAACCAAAGTGTTAATTTAGTTCGATCAAAATTTTGAACATTTCACTACAACACACCAAATGTTTTCACAAGTGCCTGAACTTATCATAGCTTATGGTCTCATGTCAGCAGAGAGAGAAAGAAATAGAAAAAAAAAAAAAAAAGGCCACATGGAATTTTAAGACATTCTTCCTCACAACACCCAATCTTCAAGACACTTCTGACACGTTTTGCTTATTGGGAACCTGGGTTGAATTGCACAGAATTCATAACAAAATGTGACCAAAGTCTGCAAAACACAATTGATTGGGATTTAATTTATAATTTGGTCAATCTGATCAATCTGGAATCTTGTAGAATATAGCTATTAAATGCATGGCACATGCTCACAGTCTTATAGGCTACATGCTTTCAGTTCCAAAATTGCAAAAGCTGAAGTGTGGAAAGAATCTTACCTCTTCCTGTTTAAACAAATATATATTGCTCTAAGATTAATTTTCTGAGAACTACTGCAAGTCTTTGGTTATAATGAAAAATTATTGCAAGCAACTAAAGAACTAACCTACTTTTTCTCAAAACTAAAAGAACAAGTGTTCACAAAAATTTCCCTGAGAAATCTAGATAAAATAACCCTCCCCCCATCCCCAATAATAGAGATTATATTTTTAAAGCTGTAAGTCTAAACAACTATTTTTTAGAGACTGGAATGGTCAGTTGGTTTAGCTGATTAAAGTATACATTTGTGAGGATCCTCAAAGACATTTATATTGAACTTTTTTAAGATAAAGAAAATGATAACCCAGCTAGTGTGGCTCAGTGGTTGAGTATCATCAACCCATGAACCAAGAGGTTACCAGTTTGACTCCTGTCAGAGCACATGCCAGGGTTGCAGGCTCAATCACCAGTAGGGGGCGTGCAAGAGGCAACCAATCAATGTTTCTCATCAGTGTTTCCATATCCCTTTCCCTCTCCCTTCCTCTCTAAAAGTCAATTAAAAAAAACATATTTTAAAGTTAAAAAAAAAAAAGGCCATGGCCCTGGGCATCCAGCTGTATCTGCAACAGATTCCCAAAATGTTTTCATTATGTCAACATTAAAAAAAAAAAAAAAAGCCATTCTTGCCCTAACTGGTTTTGCTCAGTGGATAGCGTGTTGGCCTGCAGACTGAAGGGTCTCGGGTTTGATTCTGGTCAAGGGAAAATGCCCAGATTTTGGACTTGATCCCTAGGAGGTCAAAGTTTGATTCCCAGTCAAGGCATATGCCCAGGTTGCAGGCTCAGTTCCTAGTGTGGGACATGCAGGAGGCATCCAGTCAATGATTCTCTCTCATCATTGATGTTTCTATCTCTCTCTCCATCTCCCTTACTCTCTGAAATCAATTATATATTTGTGAGCCCAGCTATCATATATCATATATATATATATATATATATATATACCATTCTTTATATTTTAAAAAACTTTTCTAATGGAATCATATACTACAGATATTATTTTGTAAATTTGTGAATTTCTCTAGGTAATTTTTATTATTCTATATCTAAAATATAATTTAGAAAAGAACATGTGAACAGAAGAAACAAAATCAAGTAAGAGAAATGGAGGGAGGAAAGAAGCCTGTAGATTGTACTTCCTCCTGGAAAGTTAAGCCAATCAATGAAAATAGCAGTAACATGATATAGTTTCCCTGGGCATAAAGTTTTGTTTGAAAGTCCATCCCAGAACTTGTCTGACAGGCTTCAGTGAGCTTCATAAAAGAACACAAGCCAGTGTTCTTTTCCGATATGTCAATGTGTTTCACTTAGTGTGGGGTTATGGAAGAAGCCATTAGTAAGTTGTTCATGAATAGGCATCCACGAAATCCTTGAAATTACATACAAATATTTTTGTGACTGTCCATATGTACAATTATTTTTTTGGAGAATGAGTCACTAGCTGTCAGATTCATGAAAGTATTCAAAGATCCCAGTCTCTAAAAAATAGACTTAGAGGTTAATGTCCAAAGAAGAATGTAATGTCCAAATTTCAAGATGAATGTACTTAGTCCTCATAATCAGCAGCAATGGGGGCAGATCTTCATCGCAGACACCCGAACAGAGCTTCCAACAACTTGTGTGGGAGTCATGAAGGGCTTCTGGGTCAAGGGGAGCAATATGACCTTTCACGTCCTTCTTGGATTTGAAGGAGTAACTCTCAAAACTTCTCCACACACAGAAAACTGATGGGACCATGAGTCCCCCACCCCCACCTCTCTCTCTCTCTCTCCCTCTCTCTCTCTCTCCCTCTCTCCCTCTCTCTCTCTCTCTCTCTCTTTCCATTTCCCTCTGAGGAACAAAAAGAAATCTTGGCATCTTGCCTTGAGCAACAATTTTGAGTGTTTTTTTTAAAACACTTGATTTAAAACAGCACGTATTTGTGTATAACTGGCATTTTGAACCACTCCTTTAAGATGAAAATCAAGCCATGAAAAACGGATTTAGAAGTAAAGCAGATCACACACAAGTGAAATAAAATCTCTTATTAATGGAGCAAGAAACCAAACCCCAAGCCATTATTTCTCACAGGGAAGCAGTTTCTTGATATAAGATAAAACCAAAGCAAAAGGAGGAAGAGAGAGAACTGAGATGACTAACGGCTAATTCTAATTTTCTATTTATAGAAGTGGTATAGAATCTTGATTAGTTCTCTTTGAAGATAACTGCTTTGTGTACCTACAAAACCATCTCATTAGCATGATACTGCTCAATGACCTAACTTTTCTGAGAAGGCTGAATGAGAAAATACAGTGATACCAAATTGAATAAAAGGACATCATTCAATGAATAAAGATGATGCTTGACATGACACTTAAAAATGAATTTGATTTCTTTCTCATGCTTCTTATGGACATTTGTTTTTAATATTTGTCTTTAATATGTTAGGTTGGACCATATGTAAGTACTGATATTAAGGCAATTTTTACTTGAAAATGTCAATATATTTTGGTACAGCGTGCATAGTTTTAAATCCTTTAAGAAAGATCTGTGAAACCACTGAATTCTGCAAAAGTTTACTGACCATCATGTACCTGACACCTTGCTCAATGGTGACGGATGCAATAGTGGCAGATGGCAGATGCCATGTCCCCTGTTACGACTATTATGCTGTTTAGAATCAATAATCAGACTGATCATTTATGGTCAGAAATAAACTCATTACTTACTCAGTGGTTGATTCAGCAAGTTAAAATATGCCATCAGCTGATTTTCATAGTCTTTAATCAAAAAGAATAATTTAGGCATTACCACTGTGATGATTTCCAGAAGGTGGCAATTTAACTTCCCATTTTTCCTATAACAAACGGAACCATTGAATACATACAAGACTTGCTTAAGATCACCTTTATCTTCCAATCCTTGGCTGCTGGTCGGATGTTTCATCTAGTGATCAGTTCCTTTCTCTCCTCTCACTATGCCCTCGCCTATCAAGTATGGTCACCAGTGTCTTAACTGGCCCCAGCCCCTGGCCATTGATGGGAAAGAGCAAAGTCAACTAGACTTTCTGGGAGAAACATTCTGCCAAAGGGCTTCCTGTAAATGTTCCCTCAGTATTTTTATCCCCTCGTATGTTGTTACCTCCCCCTGTGCTCAGTAATTTTAGTTTGTGCTTTTTGTTTCTCTCTTTTTTTTTTTTTTTTTTTTTTTTTTGTTTGTTTCTTTGGTTTGCTGGCTTTGTGTTCTTTTCTCTTTTTTCCTTTTCTTTTCCTTTTTTAATGCAGGAATCGGCCAAGGCGTTCCAGTAGTGGCGCTCATTGTGGAAGGAGGACCCAATGTGATCTCCATTGTCTTGGAGTACCTTCGAGACACCCCTCCCGTGCCCGTTGTTGTCTGTGATGGGAGTGGACGGGCATCCGACATCCTGGCGTTTGGACATAAATATTCAGAAGAAGGCGGGTAGGTAATTTGCCAGGCCCCATAGGGGACCTATGAGTGCAAACCTTGAGTTCCAAGCTTGGAAGACATGGTAGGCTGGTGGGAAAGAGCCAGGGAACATATCGTATTTTCCAGCGTATAAGACGACCCCCTAATTTTACAGTTAAATCATAGGTTTAAGCCTATATTTGCTGTATAAGACTATCCCCCCACTTCAAAGAAAAGACTTACTTTGCCGTCAAGATCTGCAGGTAACTTTTGTGCAATTTTGGTCTTTTGCCCCCGATTTTCGGTTGACTTTTTTTTCGTCTCAAAGGTCGTCTTATACGCCGGAAAATACGGGTACTCAAAATGTCCTATGAAGCGGAATATTCTGTAAAAGCTGTGCTAGCCAACACTGATGATGGAGAGGATGAGGGGAAGAAAGGGGCCTTTGGGCCTTTCTCTTTTTTTTCATTAGCACAGCCAATCTGGGCCATTTAGTGCAGGTTTGTAACTTGGGGGAAGCTGGGATATGCCGCTTCCAGGCTTGGCCACAAACACCAGCATCACTACACTGGTTTACAAATGCTAAATGTTTACAAAACCAATTGGCAGCCTGTGCTGTCAGATCCCTCTAAACTGGCTTGGAAAGGGGAATCTCTGTAAAGGCAACCGCTCTGGCCCTATCTAAACACCTCATAAATCCCTCATGTCCTTTCCTTTATCTGTCAGCCCCCCGTGCTGCTTTCAGTAATCCAACGTCCCAGCCCCACGGAGGATTTCCCTTCAAGGCCCTCTTCTCCCCCTGAGGTTCCATCCAGCGAATTGTGGGATCCAGCACTCATAGATTATTAGATGAAAGTAATTTATTTTCAAGTTGTGAATGAGTTGAAGGGGAAAACTCAAGGGAGACATTGAAGTTTTAAATAAGGAACTTTCTAACCTGATCAATTCTTCTAACACATGAAACCAGAGAGAGAAAGGAACCCCAGAGAAGTTGGGGGTCTTGTATTCATACTTTTTATAATTCTACTATAAGTGTTTACTCTGGGCCATGCACTGAAATATAGAAAATAACATACCATTTCTACCCTCAAAGAGCTTGCAATAGTGTGGCCAGTGTGGCTCAGTGGGTGAGCGTTGACCTGTGGACCAGGAAGTCATGGTTTCGATTCCTGGTCAAGGCACATGCCTGGGTTTCAGGCTTGATCAGAGTAGGCCTGGGGTGGGGGGGGGGGGGGGCAGAGGGAAGAGGGGTACAGGAGGCAGCCAACCAATGATTCTCTGTCATCATTAATGATGTGTCTCTTTCTCTCCCTTCCTCTCTGAAATAAATAAATGTGTGTGTGTGTGTTTGTGTGTGTGTGTGTGTGTGTGGTTTAAAGCACTCACAGTAAATCTAGTAAGAACTGTATTTTCCGGCGTATAAGACGACTACTGTGTTCTATAAAAAGCCTGCTCAGATTGGCCAGAGTCAGAGAGGCGGTCTATTAAAAAAAGAACTGGTGTTGCCTTGGAAGTGAGGGGGTAGTCTTATACAGTGAATATAGGCCTAAACCTATGTTTTAACTGTAAAATTAGGGGGTCATCTTATACGCCGGAAAATACGGTAGATAAATTTGTAATTATAATAATAAAAGTGACAGGTGAACTTGTCTACTTCACAACCCCCTCCCCCTCTCTGTCACCCAGTCTGCCTTAAAATAATGAGATGCAGCATGGCAGCCCAATGCCATCTTTTCTTTCCCCATTCTTTCCTTTCTCAGCCAGCAGCCCAGCACAGATGAGCCATTAAATTGTCACCCTCACCTGGCAGGTGCGTGAACCAAAATATATGAGAGGAGGAAAAATAAAAAGCATGGGGCCTCTAGCTCAACACTGCAAATACTGATAGTTATTTTAAGCCCTGTTAAAGCTTTTGATTCTTTTCCTAAAAGCTAATTTTTTTAAATATACTTAATTGATTTTTTTACAGAGAGGAAGAGAGAGGGATAGAGAGTTAGAAACATTGATGAGAGAGAATTATCGATCAGCTGTCTCTTGCATACCCCCTACTGGGGACGTGCCCGCAACCAAGGTACATGCCCTTGACCGGAATTGAACCCCAGACCTTTCAGTCTGCAGGTTGACGCTCTATCCACTGAGCCAAACTGGTTTTCGGCAAAAAAAAAAACCTAATTTTTATAAGCACACAATTGAAGTTTGCTTACTGGCAAATTTAATTAAATTACTTTTCTTCTTTGATAGTAAATATTGGCCCACTTCATAACTAAGGGAAAGAGAGAGAGAGAGAGAGAGAGAGAAACATTTGCCCAAATGCCTGCATATCTATTACCAACAAAATCCTCAACTGTGCTTTGCTTTAGCAGAAGTTCTCATTGATGTAAATATAGCCATTTGTTCCTTTTTCTAAAATAACTAAAGAATTGATGCAGCTTTTATCTTTGGCTTGTTTTTTGCTTCCTAGTGCTTGCAATTATTTTGTTGTATTTCCATAAAGTAGGCATAAGTTTAGGTTCATGGTGCATGTTCCTTTTCAGGAAACTAATGAAGAAGCAAGGTGTCCGCCTCGGCATTTCAGGTTTTCTTGGTCTATCCACAGTGAGAGTCTGTAGCTAGTGTCTATTTTTGTCATTATTTGGGGTTGTGTACCTTGAAAATGTTAAGATATTTGGTAAGTTACCCCTCCTGACTCTGTTTTAATAACAGAGAACTGTTATACATGTTAGAACTGGGCGGGACTTCATATTATCTAACCTAGGAGACAGATATATAGAGAAATTAAATGCTTTGCCAAGGTCCCACAGCTCATGATCCCAGATCAGGGTTCTTTCAGGTGTATTATAAATTCCCAGGAATGAGTTTTTTGGTATATGCTTCAGTGTTTCTCATATGGAGGTACTCTCCTTTAAACACTTCAGTTACCCTCAGTTGCCTCTTTGTATTATAATTTTCTGATTTTTTTATTATTCTGTGTATTCCAAAAAAATAAAACCAGTGCATTACAATATGATCAATCCAAGTTGTAAACCAATGTCCACACTGATCAACTCTCCATCATGTGAATTCTTTTCCTTAACTAACCCAGATCATTATGCCCAGGCCTGAAAATTAAGAGTCAGAAATCCCATGCCCCTTTAACCGTAATTGTCCGTTTTAGTTTTAAAACTAAAATTTAGCTTTAGTTCTCATTATTCTATGGTCAAAATATGCAAGAGCACAATCTATATGGGATCTATATAAACACATGAACCATGACTGATTATCAAAGAATATGAAGTCATGCACATAACTAGTGTGGAGAGAAAGAATTAAGATATAATCTTGTATCTTGGGAATTATTTAAAGCTAAAACCTTAAGGTTTCAAATAAATATTTATAGACTGTTATAGTTAAAAGTATGTTCTTGCTACTCCAGGAAAGCTATTATACATTTATCATGATAAAATGAGTTTGGAATGTTTCCGTGTGCCATCTGAATAACTGCCAGAATTAATCACGCTTATTTAGCTTGAAATGAAGTTGTCTAGCCACACATGTGCAGCCAATTAAAAAAATTATTTCCGAAGAATATGATTTTGCAGTAGTGTGCTGCTTTCTCTACACTAAAAAAAAGAATTAGCCCAGCTAGACTTCATTCACCAAGGAGGATTTCTTCTTTTATTTCTAGCAAAGCCCAACAGAGTTTGGTACATGGTTCAATATAAATAAATGTGAATGCGTAACTATTTTTATATAAACAAACAGACCTAAATATGTATGGTTATACATGTAGCGTTGACTATAGGAAACATATATCATTTTTACTTTTCAGTTACTTTGCTGATTTAAATATGAGTAAAAATTTTTACTTATAGGTTGTTAAATAATATAGGCCCACGAACTATAAATGTGCATATCCAGCTAAGTAGTTTATTGTTTTATTTTCTTAAAGGTGTGAATAAAATCTTCATCTCTCCATTTTAATCTTTGTGACCTTGATACTAGGCCTTTAAACTCTCTCTTATTAAACCACTTTCCATGAATTGGAATTTAAAAGGGAATTTCTTTGGAAGCAAATTATAATTGGCAAAACTAATTAACTTTTGTAAATGAGATTACTTGAGGTAGAAAAGGATATGACTGATCTATCAAAACACAAATGGGTTAGCCGAAACCAGTTTGGCTCAGTGGAAAGAGCATCGCCTGCGGATTGAAAAGGTCCCAGATTGGATTCCAGTCAAGGGCATGTACCTTGGTTACGGGCACATCCCCAGTAGGGGGTGTGCAAGAGGCAGCTGATCGATGATTCTCTCTCATTGATGTTTCTAACTCTCTATCCCTCTCTCTTCCTCTCTGTAAAAAAACAATAATATCCATTTAAAAAAAAAAAAAAAAGCACAAATGGGTTTAGATAAGATAAGAGACAATTACAATTAAATACTTACTTTTATTTTTGTCTTTTTTTTTTTTCCTACCTCTGCTCTGTGGCATACACTACCTGAAAGAAATGGTTGAGCTTTTTTTTATTTCTTATTGCTGTGCTGGATTTTCTATTTCCCACCTGTATAGTTTAGAAAGAGTCATAAGTCACTATCCATAACCAATTTCATTGCTTGAGAAATATTACCAAATTTTATTTCTGAATCATAAATTGCTAAACACTGTGAACACAAATAGATTAGTGCTACCTAAGTAGCATTACATTCAATAATATAAATTTTTAAATAGTAGGATTCTACTTTATGCTGTTTGACTATACCCAGGAAAATACCCAGTCAGGAAGACTTTGCAAGCTTCAGGTGGCTAGAACTGAAGATATGACTTTGCCTGGTAATTGTCCACATAGGTCTAAGATTACAGGGAGATTAGTCAGTCAATGAGCATGTATGGCACAGGTGAAAAATGTCAGTGTGAAAAAGGCATCTGAATAAATGAATGTGTTTTGAGATTATGTCCCTCGTTCACCTAGATGTTTCTATTTACTAGAGACCCAGTGCACAAAAAATTCATGCAAGAGTAGGCCTTACTTCCCCTGGCTGCCAGTACCAGCTTCCCTC